ATATCTATTATATATATATATATATATATATATATATATTAACATCATTATTAAACGCTCAGTGTGTTTCAGGCAAAGGCACCGGCCAGAATTAACGAGACACCTTAACGAAGTGATCGGAAGCAGTAAACTCCACCGTAACTTAATCTCCACACATGCACACCGCGAAAAAAGCTAGAAAACTGGAGAAGGCATCTTACTTTGTGGGCTTCCAAGAGTTCAGGGTTCTATCCACCAAAAATCCTCGTATTCCGGCCCGATTTTTAATATTCATATGCATGCAGTTTGTAAACGGGGACCTAGCTTACTGTACGCAAGACAGCTAGGCGTGCGATGCAAGCGCATACATGGAGCTTGTTCATTCCGCGAAAACATGGTGGATCCTGTCATATTAAGGCTAAGTATTCAGAGAAAACATGGCCACATGCACTAAAATTTGCTGCTAAATACCATCAAAATCAAGCACAAGCTTAATTCCTAGCGTATGTACGGCTAGCCGGGTGGTTGATGAGATCAGCTGGCGGCTGAGGACTTAAGCAGAGGACTTAAGCAACTTTGGCCTTGTCTGTTGCAAGGGAATACATAATATTATCTCCTTTAAAATGTGTTGAAAACTTAACGTACAAGAAAAACAACTTCGACAAATTCAATAAACAGCGGAAATGATATGCGCGGCGTCGGCGGCGTGTAAAATTAAGCTCGGCAATTACAAGAACAAATTCATCGGCGTATCGGCATAGCCACAAATTCAGTCATCGGTTGGTAAGATGAAAAGCCCCAATCCAAATTATTAAGATTTAGCTGTCCGTCAACGGTGTTGGCCCTCTTATCATATGGGAAAAGCCGAGACCAATAAGGACGGCACCTAAGCGATCAAAACTGCCGCGGCAGGCCAACAAAGAGGCTCCCGTCAACAGTGAAGGCTCCCAACTACAATCGAGAAGAACCTAACACCAATATGGCGGGACCCCTGAGTGACTGGGAGCACCCTGGTAAGCTAACATATTGGGTCCGGCCGGAGCACAGGATGCTCTGAGCAAGGGTAATGACAGAAGACCAGTGTATGTGAATTAAAGCTCCTGTGTGATCAAGCGGGCAGGTTAACAGAGAGGGCTCTGACGAGTGAACGGTCCTCATCAATTAAGCTCAAATGGGGAAGAGCCATAGATGAATAGATGAGATACATAGATGAGAGGGCCTCTGAGCATCGAGTGTCTCGGTGCATTACCTTATATGGGCCCCAGAAACTGCACGAGTCCTCCAAGCTAGTGGAAAGAGCCCGATACCAATGTGAAGGGCCCGTAAGCAACCGAGTATACCCCGCCAGCAGCGGCGTGGTGGGAGAGTGCACCTGCCCCCCGGATGCAGCGGTCCCCGCCGAGCCCGCGCCGCCCGCCACGTCTCCGGCCACGGCTCCTCCCGGCGCGCCTGCGCCCCGTCCGCCGGTGAGCCCCGGGGCGTGGACGCGCCCAGGCCGGACACGGCCACTAGGCGTCGGGATAATTTATAGTAAGCGTACTCCACTGTACGCATCACGTGATCATCGGTGGAATGCCAGGTTGACTGTGCCATCGCTTGACAAAGAGGGAAAAAGCGGCAGGAGTCAAAAATGTTTCTGTAGTGTCATCTAGGCGCAGGAATCCAAATTAGCCTGAGTGCCGGGGATACTGGACGTTGACTACTGACTACTGGCTACGACTCTGGACTTTGCGACACTGGACGTTGCCCGCGTGGACCATACAAACACCCCCAATGGGAGTGCGGCATTGGATACATGCTGCACGTTATGAACGCTGGATGTTGCGATCTTGGACGGTATATCTTGAACACCGAACGCCGCAATCCTGGACGTTTTGAAGACTTCCCGATGGGGGTGGGGAGGGGGCGGCGGAATGGCTCCTGAGCCCTTGGCCGGGACGGTTATGTACCCGTTATTTGCCCCGCGCTCTACCCACGGGGCAAAGCGTCCCGTCAGAAGCGCACTTGTAAAAAGGTAAAGGGCCTTATTAGTGTTCAGTACAGTTGATTGAAATGAGGTCGATGGAAGGGGCTGCCGATGATGAATGGGAAACGGATCGCCGGGGTTGCAGTTTCTGTCGAACCGAGCGGCGTTATCCGCCGCAGCTAACACTAGGCGGTGCGCGTCGGGCGCGCGACAACACCCATCGCGAAATAATCTTTCCAAACAACCAGTTCGTATCGTTCAAAGATTATATGCAGCCTGTATAATTTTGTGAACGTTCTATGAAGAAGTATCGGGTTGTAACCACACGCGAAATAGAGATATTACCCAGGGGCTCCACTTTTTCCGAATCTGATGGGGGCTCAGCCGACGCGGTTGACCTAAGACCTGATTGTTCCCAAGATCTCGATCACTTAAACTTGTGACCTCGACGTCAAGTGTTTCTTTTTAATGGATATACGCCACCCTTAACACGCGCTCGGGTGGCCAGTCGGATACCCTTCGCTCAGGTGGGGGTCATTGTGACCCCGCTGAGATCTCAGAAGCTAAGAGAGCTAGAGACTCCAAACTCACAGGGTAAATTGGCATGTACGTGAACTCACTTGGGTCAGACTTTGCGGTTTCTAGATCATGAAATTCGGGTCAAACAGGGTCAACAAAGATCAAACTCCAGGTTGGTGTCCTAAGTGCCCCCAGAACGTAGACTTCTGTTCTAAGCAAAAGGTCTTATGCTCATATACGGCCAGTGACCTTTTTTGACCTTTCGAAGATCACCGCGACCAAATTATACAAGACTGCTTTGAGTTTGCATTTAAATAAGCGGCAGCGTTTACGCTAGGCAGTACGGTCCTAAAACAAAATACTGACCTAAGTCAGTTTAGGTCCGTGACGTATTCTGACTTCTAAGAAGTCCATGCAGATATTTGATGCAGTTCCTGTGAACACTAAAGGCGAAATGAGCACGAGAAGCTACTTCATGCAGCAAACCGAAGGATAATAAAACGGTTTGGTTTCGAACTTGGGCTGATCTTCATATCTGACACCAGGTCAATTGAATTTGTCCATTCAATTGTTGCGTTGCTTGTGAAAGTTGTCTCAGAGATATACGCCTTAGTCGAACACTCCGTTGTTGCATCAGAGTGAATTATTCCCTAGAAAACGACTTCGCTGAATCCATGTCCTAACTTTAAACTGCCGTAGGTCAGTGACCTTACAAATTGCATCTAAGTTCGTGATATCAAACGATCCGCTGGTCAATTAGCTACAGCTCTGCAAAATTTGTTTTTTTCAAAACCAAATTTCAAAGTTCAAAAGTTCAAAGAGCGCGGGTACTCCGCGCCGTTCGGAAACCATTCCGGAAAAGCCTTTGGGGTCAAATTGACCCCACTACCCGAGCGCGTGTTAACTTGGTTTTTATTTGTGGGTTGTACCACCCATTTCCTCCGCCCCGCATTTGTGAAATGCTGTTTAAGACCCTGTTAAAAAATACATCAAGTATACGAAAAATAAGAGAAGGGTGAAAAACTAATTGTATACTTGTAAAACTCCCGTTTATAGATTGCAACCCATTCAAACAGGTGAATGCGACCAGTTACCTTTTACTTAAAAGCTGTTGCGTATGACATTTAATTTGTGTGGCCTTAATCTAAACGCTATTGCGTGAAAAACTCACCAATAACTGCGGACCGGCTTAACCCACCAGATAATTGGAAAGACAACAGCATGTAAGGTATGCAAGTACAGGATGCTACGTAGTACAAAATTAACATAGAACTAACAGTGATGTTTTCAGATGGGTGTGTATCCAGGGTACCAGCGCTTCAGGAAAATTTCTGCATTTCATTTGTTCACCATTTTTTTCCAACACACTCATGGGGAGGGGCTCAGAAGAGCATGGGGCGTGGGGAGCTCAAGTCAGGATGGGGGGGGGGGGAGCCCATTTGCTCGGTCGCCCAGAAAGTGTATAAAGGGGCCCCTGATGCTACCTTTACTCATCACTGCTTTCTAAACGTTCGAGTTGATGTCCTTAGTTGTTGAAAGACGATTATTTCGAATGCATCATTTCTGGCTGCCCGTTGGCCACGGCCTTATGCAAACTGCATAGCCAACGTTGCTGCTTCGGGAGACTGTAAAGCCGAACGTTGGGTTTCGTTTCGAAGACTTAAGAGCGCGCATGTTCAATTTCTCATAAATTGATGCCTACTGAAGAATAAACATTACAGGCAAAGATGAGCTGGCCATGTTAACGCATATTTGTGACTATTTCGATTTACAGTCTATCTTCAAGGGGACCCCAATGTCTGAAAAACACAGATTTTGTGGCAAAGCCCTTGAGTCTTGGCAAATTATTGTTACATCCGTTAAAGAAGTATCCATCAAACCTCTGTAAAATTTATATTACCAGCGGATTATTACATGCGGTCATTTCGCGCCCGCCTTCTTCAGCTTATTGAACTTAAAATGCAAACACAACTGCATCGTCTGTTAGCGTGTGGCTTCTGTTTAAGTTACAGAAGTTAAAAATAAATGTAAAGGAAGAAACCCGTGCTCTCTCGAAATAAGGGCGCAAGAACGAAATTGGGTTGTAGTGGGCGGCTTCTACCATCAAATGGAAGACCCTTTGTCAACCCTGTGCCCCCCCCCCCCCCTACCAAGGCTCTGGCTGTGCCCCTGCTGGGACAACGATGTGTACCCAAGACCTTACTGTCGATTGCTATATACCTTCTGAGAGCTTGCCTTCTATCCGTGTCGTCCTAATACCGTGGATGTCAACTTTGCGACTAAAAGAAAGCCTAAAAACATGCCATTATCGGGGAAAAATGTTATCGCCACAAGTTCTGTGGAGCTTAGCACATTAACTCTGTGGGGCTTAATACATTAGCGAATATCCCCCGCAAGGCGGTCCCTCGAAGCGGGGCTTGCGGACGTGCGTTATTGCCGACGCGGTGCTGCATCAGCGACGGAGCGACCCGGAAGGCAGAGGAGGCGGCCGGCGGAGCGGCGGCATCACTCGGCAACCCAACCGCTACCCGACGGGATGCCGGCTGCGACCGAGATCACCGCCGGCCTCGTTATGGCTGCCAACTCGGCGGTGCCGGCGGTGGCTATCCTGCTGCGGCGACAGCTGCGCGAGGCGATCATGTACCGACTGCTGGCCAGCGTGGCCGCGGCTCAGGTGCTGATGGGCGTCATCACGGCCCTGGTGGGCACGCTGAGGCTGCTGCCGACGCCGCCGGGCTGGGCGTGCGCGTCACTGCTATTGCTGAGATCGGCCCTTGGCACGTCCACTGTCGTCTCGCTGCTGGCGCTGAGTGTGGAGAGGTACGTCACGGTCGTGCACGGCCTGCGCTACTTCGACATCGTCACCGACCGGCATCGGCTGCTGCTGCTCGCCGCCTCCTGGCTCGTCGCGGCGATCTTCTGGGTGTTCGGGATGGCGCTCCGCGTAGCGTTCGGGGCGGACGACAGCAGCGTGTGTGACCACTGGGAGTCCATTCCACCCGCCTTCCGAATAACCGCGTCCCTATTTGTCCTCGCAACATACCTGCCCTGCTTATGCGTCAACCTGTTCGTTGGCTTTGTCGGCTGGCGACAGGGAAAACGAATCAAATGTGATCACGCAAGTGTACGAAGCCATCCAAAGCAAAAGCTCTTCCAGCTCCAGGGCTTCTATGCCATCGCAGCCCTATCGCTGCTGTTTCTTATCTTTGTACTTCCGAACGTCGTAGCGAATCTAACCCAGGCACTGGGACTAGCCGATATGCCAGTCGTGCACAGGACCACTTCCAGTCTCCGGCTATTCGGCATGCTTACCGATGGCTGGGTTCTTCTTCTGCTCTGCCCAAAGATGATGAACGGGCGCAGGCGAATGTTTTGCCCGATCGTCTGCGGAGAACGTCCCACAGCGCAGGTGAGCACTGGTGCTGACGGATTGCGGGGACCACGCTGTGTGAGCGTGATTCATGTCGAGGGTCCAGGGCTGAACGCCGCGCATCCCAAGCACACCGGATAAGTTTCAGTGTCCACATCTGCCGGTGTTCCGCGCAAGCATGCGATGACTTCCCAGCGAAACGGGTGTACCCACGCCGAGACGATGCTGCAGTTAGCTGAGCACGGAAAAGGCTTGCCGGGTGGGAAGAGGAATCAGACACCAAAATCGTGCCGTCTAATAACACTGGCTAGTGGCATTGTTGCACAATCAAAATATAATAAGGATGTGTATTTTTACCACTGCCGAGTCCGAATACGCTGTCATCGTGTTGTCGCAGTACTACACCTTATTCTTTCTTGGTAGTCTCAAAATGCAGCCCCTGACCGCGGAAACTGCAGTTGTCGCGACTATTGTCATGATAACGGCAAAGTCTATAAAGGGAATGTTCCACATTTGTATGGTATTTTGAACTAAAATAGCCACCTTGAGGAACTTTTGACGCAGTTCACGGCCATGTCCTTTTAAGACCCGAAACGATGTGGTTCCTGAGTTACACGCCCGCCAAAAGTGAGAAAAGGTTCATTTGGAGCCTATTTCAAAGTTGCCTCTGAATTAATGACGTCATAGAACCGTCCTGGGATCGCAGCCATGCTACAGGCTGTTTTCTGCTTATGGTCTAAACAGCATGGCCGCTGGCACGTTCTGCAAGCAGCAAGATGGCAAGATGATCGGCTGTTAACAAGATTTCACTGCTGAATGCGTGTCGCAAACGTAAGCGTGAGCACTTTCGGGTTGCGCGGCACTCGTCGTCAACGGGTCATTTCTTTATTTCTAGACCACAGGTCAACGTCATAAAAAAAATGACGCCACTGTCTGCAAAAAAGTATAAAAAGTAAAAAACTGTCACTTTCCCGAAACTTGTAAGAAAGAAGACGCGACGGCAAATCTGTCCTTTTCCCCTACTGGCGTTTTTTTTTCTTGAAGAAACCTCTTGAGCCGCATCACCGTGAACCCCCGTTGGGACTTTGTTTTGAATCGAGGCTACGGTAAAATGTCGTGCTATGGCTGAAAATATGTGCGGAAATTGCGAGAAAACCTGCAATTTGCTAGCTCCGCGAGATGTGCAAGTGTGAGATCACACTGATTTGACAAAATACTGTAAATCGGGGGCTTGAAATGTGTGTGATCATGGTACTCATGGTACATGTGATCAACATGGTACATGTGATGTTGGTACTCTTTAAGTCTACTGACTCCCAATAAAATGCCATATACTGATACCTGCCTCTACCTTTATGTTTGTTTTTGGACATGACAAAGGAACCCTGGCAATCGAAGAGAAGCACTGCCACTTATGTTGCAGGGATGTACAAAGGCAAGCTGGTACTTGACTCTAATCTTGCCAACATCTTGAGCCTATTGAGGTACTACAACATGCAATTAATCCATTGCGTGCCATTATATCAGCAATTTATTTTGGCTGTACGGGCTGATGAGTGCAGCTCATTAATGTGCATGCTCAATATTGGCTCACATTATATGACTTTGCAAAATTGTCTTTCCCAAAAGAATTCTGAAAAGATAGAGCCGCATTAGTACTGATGCACATTGTACTGTCCTCACAAATTCTGTATGCAGGCTAGCATTGCTCTTGAGGCATCAATGACATAGTAACATAATGACATCACCGCAACTTGCGTGACGCTGGATGCTGGGAAAGGTGGAAAAGTATTGCTGTTGTTGTCTTGGATAGCGCTCTTTAATTTTTTTCATGCGTCTCGTGTGCACTGGCAGCTTCATCATTTCCTTGCATTTTGCCCTTCCAACTATAACTACAAGCACTTGCCATGTTTCCAGCTTTGTGCATGGTCAGCATGTTTGCAGTGTCATTTCACCACATGTAAAATTTTCCTGTTATTTTTTAGTAAAGCAGCCTGATGGCTGCAGCATGTTGCATGACTGTGGAAGTGAAAGATGTGTTTGCATCTTTCTCACCCATGTTTTATGGATTTTCAAAACAGGCTGAGCAAGTGATACAACTTGTTGGCTGTCTGCTTTTCTGAAAGTGATTTGTATATTGTATCATGTGTTTTTGGTCAGTCATATGCCAGATGGAGAGTCAATACAAGAGGGGACACTTGGCCCATCTTTGTATTACTTAATTTATTATGAAAGCAGCATAGATTGCGGCACGAAAACCATATCATTGTTCATTACGTCATGCCACAGTACAGCGCTGAGGTAGTACCGCACCTGTTGACCCGTGCCATAACACAATGTACCACATTGGTTGACTGCTCTATCAAGTCTAGGAGACCGCAGTTTTTAATTAATGAATGGCTCGTAACAACTGATTAACAATGCAAAAGGACTATCAACGGCAAGAATGTCATAGCACCACAATGGTTTCATCAGGGTTAACTATAATTTGCATAAATAATACTAAGCAAAAAAAAAAATATTCGTAGCCCAGCCTTTACCACAGCAATATCAATGCTTTGACAATCAATTCATAGCAACGTTAAAAATTCATCCATTTTCGCATTGCACTGCATTTCTAAGTACGAACAATAACGAAGGTAACTACTGTGCACATCACATGATATGAATGTCAGGACTACAGCACTGCAGGCAACGATGGATCGACAATTAGGTACTGACAAAATCACCAGCAGCACATCAGCAACAGCAGCAGTACATCATATCGTGCTTTGATATTAACAATCTGGCATAAAAGCTGGCGGTCGCTACGTAGCGTATGTCAAACAGTCCACCAAAGCTTTTCTTACAGCCAGCACCAAAAAAATCCACAATCAAACCACCCACTAATCCGTCACCTGACACAGCTCCCGCGACGAGAATGGCCGGTTGACGTCAGCTTTCGTGTGATTTGAGGTATTCTTTAGGTCTGGATGCCAGATGCTGCTCGTTATTGCTGTCGTCACAAAACCGTTCCATGACTCCATCAAACAATGGCGTAATGGGGCGGATTTTTTACCAACTTTGAAATTTCGCTTCTTAGCGTCGTTTTTGAACCTTGTAATCTTGCCAAAAGTTACAAGCAAGCTTTTCCCACCATATCTGATGCCTTCCTCAATATCCTCAAATGTGAAACATTCCTTTTACGGAAGCGTTTTGCTTAATGTGATCAATGCAGCACCTTTTTATATAATTTTCAGGTTTCAGCGCGCATCAGCCCATCTACAGCTTTGCTCAACCCAGCACCAGCATTCCGCAGCTCGGAACCAGTACTTCTCAGGTCTGGGTCGGACACATGGCCTCTCCTGTGCCGGACACACGCCGCTCCTGCGCCTGAGAAGCGACCGGTCCATTTGAGGTGATTACCTGTGACGTCATTTATAAAAAAGTGGTGCTAATTTTTGTCTGCCGGTTCTGCTGGGGTGATAGAAAGCGGGGCGGCGAGCGTCCTCGCATATGATTTTCGTGAGCTGTGGCAGTCTGAGAGGTGATTCTGTGTGGAAATTATGGCTAAGAGGGAACAAAATTTGATCGAGCCTATCAATCCTACGGGTTGTGCACGCTATGAGGAAAAGTTCACCCACAATGGCACGCGGCTGCCGGATCCATACTACCAGATTCCGGCGGAGAAGTGGTCGAGAGACCTCAGTGCGGTGCCCAGCGTTACTTTTCCAGAGGTATTTGTGTACTGTGTCCTTAAGGCGGGATTCTATGCAAATCAAGACTTGAAGGCTTACCGAGCCCTGGAGGCCCACAACCATTTTGAGAATGGAGTTGTTCAAAGCATTGGAATAGCTGAGGCAAAGCAAAATACTGTGTTCATGAAGGCGAAGGTCCTGCCGAGTCAGCGCGTTGGGCAAAAGGCTGAGCCCTATGTGGCATGGTCACCAAGCAAGAGGAACGGCGAAGTCCTTAGTACACACTGTACCTGCGTGGCTGGGTAAGTGGCATGTGTACAGCATACATCAGATGTGATAGCATGTTTAAGACATAGTGGAGCATGTTCCACATGCATTTATCAAGATTGCATAGTGTTACAATGATAAACAGTTTTTTTCACATTGACTGAGCCAAGGTGCAGGTTGAATGCACTGATACTGTGCTTGGCCCATCTTGCTCTCAAAACTCCAAGTTACTTACCCTAAACCAAAATGTTTCCTGGTAGTTTTTGTTTTGAAAACTGTTCTTTTCAAAATGTGCAATATTGTATATGAATTACTGGACCAGTGGTTTACATGGCAGAGGTGTCTAGTGCTCTTTAACATCATGACCAAGTTTAACATCATTCCATTATTTTTCAGGCTGTATGAAACCTGCAGGCATATTGCAGATGTCCTCTTCAAAGCCCAAGCTAATGTGATGCTGTGGTTTAACAAGGCATCATGCACTAGTGAGGCCTACAGGTGGAACAGCTCTGTTCGGAAGAATATAACTGCATCTAAGGTATCAGACATGGAGCTAACCCGCCTATGTGGTAAGAGAAAGAGGCCAGCTGCTGCTCAGCCCAAACCATCAGTAAATGTCCAGATCCAGGAGATCAGGGCATTTGGAGCACAGCATGGGTGT